TGATTCTAATCCGATGACATAGCTGATTTTTTTGAATTTCTTGTTCCGTAAAAACCTAATAGCTCAACAGTCGCGTCCAAGTGAACTGTGAGCGATAATTCATCGACACTTGAATTTGTTCCACTAGGTGTCCCACTAAGTGTCGTTCCTCTTTCCTCAGTTGCCTTTGAAGTGGGGGAGAATATAAGGAATTATCACCCTCACCTGTGCGCTTAATTCACAAGTGCACATCAATATCGCCACTGAGGGAGGGGTCTCATAAATAGACCAATGAGCTTCTATTGCTCTTGTGATGCTGAATCTTTGAAACTGTGCATTGGCTATTATTATAGGATATATTTTGCAGATAGATTGCAATAAAAAATGCTAAGACCTTCTACTACAAGTATCATTGTGCTTATATTTAATTATATTATTATAGGTTTATATTAGCATATTATAATTAATATATTATAGAATATTTTCAGATAGACTACAATAAAAAGTGCTCAGACTTCTACTACTTACCATATAATTGTGCTTATAAAAATATTATTATAGGATTATATATTAGATATTTGCTATATTATTAGAGGGATTATATTATATAATTATGCTTATACTATTACAGGGTATTTTTTTCAGACTTCTATACTTTACATATATAATTGTGCTTATATTTAACTATATTATTATAGGATTATATTATTATGATATTTGCTTATATTATTAGAGGATTATATTATTATAATTATGCTTATACTATTACAGGGTATTTTTTTCAGACATACTGCAATAAAAATGCTAAGACTTCTACTATTTACATATATAATTATGCTTATATTTGGCCTAACTTCACACTGAAAATTTTCACAAGAAATCGACGAAGCTTTAATTATTTTGTACAGGAAATTGCGTGGCAAATTGACAATCTTGCTTAAAGCGCGGCAAATGTCATGTGAAATGACAGAAATATTATTTGGAAGCCCATTGGTCCATTCTAGAAACCACTCCCTCGGTGGCAATACACATGTGCACTTATGAAATATGCCTCCCGTGCGCGCTCTCATTGTGTAATTTGTAGTACGTCCGACTAGGAATCTGGAGATCCTTGATTTCAATCCCGGAGACGGAATAGTGCACTTTCATGTTTCTTCAAAATGAAACATAATGATATCTCTACAACTTTCCAGTTTCTAATCAGATATACTAATCACTGTTACGCTTTTAGCAGTAATGGTAATAGGATCATTAGTAGGCAATGCTTTTAGTTCTTTGCAAAATGAACAAATGCGTTTGTCAAAATGACACTGGGACAACATCGATGCAAGATTGCCATAAAACTTTCCTTTATGAAGAAAACGCATTATCTTGGAGAAGTAAAAAACGAATAGCATTTGAATGACGTACATACGTATGTACGTATGTACGTGAGTATGCCTGTATTCAGGAAAGGAATCGTATAATAAGGATGGTAAATGTTAAATTTCCCGAGATTGATAGTCCATTTAAATAATAAAAGAACCTACGGACCCTCTACGAAATCTGTATACTTCAACTTGTTTATTGGCTCCGTGTAGACAGTAAAGCGACTTTTCGCCCCGCCTTAGTCTTCCAAATAGATAACTGTGATTTCGGAAGGTTTAAAATAAACCGTCTTATTAGTACTTAACAAATTATACGTCTTATGTAATTAACAGAGCAATTCACCGCAGCCGGCGATGTTCACAGAGTATAAACGTCAACGTAAAGCTTAAGCAATTAAAATGTAAAATTCGCATAAGCTTTGACTCAAACCCTCTAATCACGCGAGCAAATGCGCTTAGCAAAAGGCCAAAGTCGATCCAGGCAAATCTAGAGCTTGGCGTAAAAATAGTACGAAGAAAGTGAGCGACCGCTGCTAAAAGCATTCTCTTAGCTAATGAACATAAAACTTCACAATTCTCTTAGGAAACTTTGTATGTGAAAGAAGACTTAATATGCATCCGTTCATGAGAGATCTTTTTAACATACAAGAAACAAATAGGAAGTAAATGTAAGGATATATGTCAGCACACAGCTATCCATATGCGTGGAGAATAAGAAGGCCGAACTTCTTTTTAGCACTGATTGATGATTAAGAAGCTACTCACGGGATGTGCTTGGTCTGCAAAAAGAAAAAGGACCTTGAGGTGTCACGCTTGTTGGGCACCACTGATTATAGTCTGTTCACTCACTGGACGTTGACGCGCCTTAGCAATCAGACGGAGCTTTAATTGCTTTTGTCTTATGGTAAAATAATTTCAAGTAAGAAAACGGAAGAAGAGATCATTTCGTGGCAAGGAATGCGGAAGTTGAGAATAATACTGATCTTCTTTTCTAAAGAGACTTCTTGTCCTTTCGAAAAGTTCAAGATAATTCTTATATATATATATATTGAAGAAGCAGGAAGACATACATTTCTTTTATATATATGTAATTATAAAAGAAATATATGTCTTTCTGCTGCTGTTCCACATGCACAGATACGTAATACTGCGATTAAAATCGGTTATATTATTTCTTATATCTGTGAGAGAAAACTGCAGTCACTAGATTACAATCTAACATTTCCACGAAGAGTTAAAACAGTTTATTTAATTAAAAAATATTAAAAATAATATTCAATTATTACTATTTTTTAAATACATACTATATCAATACTGACACCTGATAAAAACAAATATTTACATCTGAATATAATAAATATTCGACTTAAGAAGAATTTCCGTTTAAAACTTCGGCATTTGATTATATATTTCTTTCTTTAATATTAAGTGGCGTGAAAAGGAAGCTATGAAAATGTAAAAAAAATTATATTCTGATTGAATAAAATTTTTAAAAAAAATCTAATACAAACACCACAGGACTTCCTTGTAAAGCCTATTAAATTATATACAACTTTTTACTGCATTCGTTAGACTTATTTCTTCGAATTTAATTAGAGATGTATTTCTCATTCAATTAATTCAGTTCTCACTTCACGGTAAAGCAGAAATACATTAAAACTTAAAACATATTCATTAAAAATTGCAAATTCCAGAAAAACATAAAACACCAAATGCAGTTAAAACAGTTAAAAAAAGAACAATTTTTACAATTAAAATTAGAATTTCTACGCAAAAACAAGCAATTCAGCCAGTGGGCAAGAAGGCAGAATTTTTCGATGCTCAAAACTGAAGATTTTCTTTTAGTCCCACTAGGCAAAAAGGCATTCAAGGTGCAGAAAACTTAATTCACTATTGTACTGAGATTCAAATGTAAACAAATGGCTGTTCTTTAGGCTTACCTCGTCACTTCATTTTTTTTAAATTGTTGATAATTCTACAACTATTGCATACAGATTAACTAAAGGTATATTAACCTTAACCGGAATAATTAAGACACAATAACACGCCGAATAAATACTGATTCAGAAGTCAAACAACAAAAATCAGCGTTAATTCACAAAATTTTCACAGTACCTGTGAAAACTTAACCGGAATGTAAGAACAACATAATTCAATAACTTTTAAAGCAAAAAATGCATAATTTACCAACATGCAAGAATGAAAAACGAACCTAACCGATCCAGGTAACAATATATATATTTATACATAATTATACAAGATTGGTGCGGTTCATTACAACGGAAAAGGAAGACGCACAATTACATGTTATAGCAGTCCCATATACAAAATTTCAATGTTTTACGGCTACTCGTTCTTGAGTTCTTCGAAATACATACATACGTACATACAGACATCAAGAAAAAATCTTTTCTGAATCCATTTTACAATTCTTTTTGCCAAAAACAGTCCTTTATTCTGTCCGTACGTACAGATATCACGCAGAAACATCGTTCGAATGGTTTGCAGAGGGGTTGAAATGGATATTTTTCGTTGAAATATGATACCCAAAATTTTTCGCGATTACAATACTTCCTTTATTTCGTACAAGGAAGTAAAAAGGGGGTGAAGAAAATATATATAATTAGTCTCGTAATCACTAAAACCTTCATCTTCACCGTTCGATTTTATTTTTGATGCAAACGGTAGGATAAATAAGAAATTTTCTCTTAATCTATTATAGGTTCTCCTGTTTAATTAAACTTACTCAAAAACCTATTTAGTTTATGACGCTCGTGTTAAGAAATGGAAATGCAAGGCTTTATTAAACGAAAGACTTGAATCTGATACATCTTCATCGAGTGTTTGGTTTTCTGATTTTTATTTGTAACAGTATTGACAGTAATTAAAATTATAACATTTTTTCGAGGTATTAAACAACTGAAGGATGGAATACGTTGTAGTATGACATTACAAATCTTTACATTAACATGTCAGAAAATATTAGAAAAGATTTCAAAAGGGGCAGATTCATTCTGCTGTTCATATCTTCGTAAGATACTGAGGAATACATAAAATGCTTTGTATATAATCACACAAAAGCACTCACATTTTATCAACCAACAAGCTCCAGATTTGTATATGCTAAATTAATTCACAAGATTCATTAATCTGACTCTCCAGTATATTGTTGTTTGGTTTGCTTTTATTTGGTAGAGAAAGCAAGTTTACATAGAAGATACTGAGAGTTCCTCAGTATCTTCTATGTTAGATCTAACGAACGCATGCAACGGATGCAATTAGTCTATCTCTCATAGAGAGAGTAACATAGAAGATACTAAGAGTTTTTCTTTCTCACAACGTATCTCTCTTGAGATATGTTGTGAGAAAGAAAAACTAGGAGCTCTAATATACTTTTCAGATTTAAATTCATAACGTCCTTGAACTCCTGCGTATATTGAACTCCTCAGTATCTTCTATGTTAGATCTAACGAACGTATGTCTAACGGATGCAGTTAGTCTATCTCTCATAGAGAGAGTAACATAGAAGATACTGAGAGAGATATGTTGTGAGAAAGAAAAACTAGGAGCTCTAAGATACTTTTCAGATTTAAATTCATAACGTCCTTGAACTCCTGCGTATATTATACATTTTATTTTTCCATTTCTTCACAGGTACCTATCCAAGATGCGTTCTTCATCTCTGTACGGCATGATCTCTTTGTCTGGGATGGTGTTTGGCGCTGAGATCGTCGCCAGCCATATCACCCAGTCACTCGTCCTCCTCATCAGTGCCTACCATATGCTGTACAACCTACTTTCTCTTCTTCTACTTGTTATCAGTCACAGGGTAAGTTTTCTAACACGTTAGAGCACATATAGTTAGATTGATGAATCTATTTTTCAAGGAACGAAAAGTGAAAAAATGTTATTTTAACTTTTATACAGATCCGCATACTCTAATAGAAATATTCATCAGCAATTTACAGATTGGTTGACTTTACATAAGAAATAACCACAAAATTAAAATGATCACAAAAGTTAATAATCAATAAAAAAAAGTTCATTGACTCACAAGCGTTTATTTGATTATAAATTTATGAGCAATTGAAAGACCATTAATTTATTATCAAACAAGCTTTGGATAAAAAGTATGCATTCATGCATGCGGTCGAATACTCGGTTACGACACACGAATCTTTTTAAATTCGGGATGGCCAGTATGGTGGCCATGTTATTTGTAACTTAAAAATATCATGGCTATGGACAAAAGATAAGATGACCATGTCTTTTTCTCACTTCCCATAACAAAGATGGATTGTCAGATTGTCAGTTTTGATGTCTTCTGGAAGTTGAATCTTTTATTCCCATCAAAGAGCTTAGCTTGTGTTTTGTAGATGAGTTCACTGCTGATTAAAAGCTCGTGTTGCAAATAGCGCAAAGGGAAAGTAATTTATTGAAACAAGTGGAAAAAAAAAGAGACGAGAACCTCAGTCCTTTTAAGCAACTTTGAGATTTCATAACTCCAAGTTGAAATTAGTTCGTGAAGAAACGATTGTGTGTGATGTGAAGATAAATTAATTTGCAATCATCAAAGTTTTCAAATGTATATGATGAAAATATTTTGTAATTTTTAAATAAATTAAAAATATCCTTTAGCTCAACAACTACATTCCAGATGTTCATTCGCCACATGTGAATAGTGGAAACTACACGTGTATAGATAATGATTCGAAAAAGGACGAACAAATTCAACAATAAATATTGTACATCTAGGCCCATCTGAAGATAATTTGTCACATGTATACGTCTAATGTTGAGTCACATGTATAAAAAATAATAAATATATTGTACTAATTTATGTAGCCACAAAGCAGCTGTCAAAGCCTGATTGCCAGAAGTCCTTTTTATGGTAGATTGAATATCAATTTTTGTATGGCAAATACACTTGATTCATAGCTGAATCGTTTCCCAAAATCATAATTAAGTTTCCTCTTCATAACTGTCGATACCAATATACATAATCACTAGCAGGTCATATACAAATTTCCCTTCACTGACTATCCAATACATAACAGCACGTATCTACTAAAACGTAAAGTGACACAGAACACGTAAAGTGACACAGAATATAAAAGTACAATTCAAGGCATAACTATATACAAAAATTCAACCCTTGTGTAAAATGTTTAAATGTTGAAATTATCATCACTATCAATGATACAGTGAGCCACCAGAGGTCTGGTAAATCTATATAAGATTTCATAATTAAAGATATGCGAGTAGTTAATATAGTCACTGGTGATAGCTTCGTTGAAGAAATGTTCATTCGTTCTTCGAATATAAGTTTTAAGATCTTTAGTTTTGAGATGTTTATGGAGAAGAGCATTTTTAACAAAGTGATGTACGTCTATTCTAAATCTAAGGAGTTTATTTTGAGCAATTTATAATTGATGAATTTGGTGATCTGGGGCAGTATTCCAGGCAGGAGCCGCATAACACAGAAGTGGTCTAATATAGGCAGTGTGTAGAGACATTAGATTATTTGAAGCAGGAAACATGAAAAATGACCTCTCCGAGACTCGAACCTGGTCCTCTCGAATACGCGTCGAGTATGCTAAAACCGTTACACCACGAAGGCATGTAGAAAAGGACGGAGAAAATATCTTATAAGTGTAAATATGCTTTTTGTTTTGAGACTCAGTTTAGAGTACTTGACAATGACAAGAAGAAATCTATTTATGATACCAATAGCTTTGCTACGAATATTGTGTACATGATCATGCCATTTAAGATTTTGATTAATAATATTACCCAGATATTTTTCTTTGGCTACAATGGGAACAATATCTTTGAATAAGATTAAATTTCTATAACTGGTGTGTCTCTTTTTGGTCTTGGAAAGAACAAGCTATTGCGATTTACTGGCATTAATTTTTACGCTCCAAGTCTTACATCAGTGTTCAACGGAGGTTGCGTAATTTTGAAGTTTAAGGATTGCATGGTCTTGAATACCACTAACGTTTATGCAGAGACTAAAATCTATGGGCAAAGAAAATAACAACACGATGGTGACAAGAATGTAGGCACCGACGAATGGGCGCTAGAATAAAGAAAAGTCACATTAAACGGAAGCTCCAATTGAATAAAGGAAAGTGCGGAAATAAACAAAAACAAAGAAAAAAAACGGAAGTGCTGTAAACGATGATATACACGAATATGAAAATAAAAAAAAATTGAGAAGCCTTGAGAAATATAGGTTTGAATTCCAAAGAAATAAAGAAACTTCCTAAACTCAAAATTGGTCAAGTGATTCAGAATCCACATGTCATATGACAGATAATTAAAAACGTTTTAATTAAACTAGGTTGAAGCAAAGCGAAACGAAAAAACAATTGCTGATGTTACTCACAAGAAGTCCAAAGGCATCGAAGGAGGATACTTATGCTTCGTAGACGACGAAGATAACGAAATTGGAAATAAAACTCATACATGTTTTTTTGCGTTCCTGACCTTGAACGCAGACTAGCATCCAAACCTCGAATAAGGAAAAATCGCAAACAAAAGGTTTACAGTTGAATTTATAGAAGATGCACAATAAAGAAAAAAAAGTAAAACTATAGGAATTGCTAAAACAGAAAAAAAATTATATAAGATAATCGAATCACGAAAGTAAAAAGCCAAAAGTGCAGTTACAAAAAGAAGTGAAAACAGCATAGTAGATCTCTGGCATAGAAGGCCGTTCGAGTTCTGGAATTATAAAAAAACGAACTTAAGCCATATCATTCAACAGCACAGCTCATTGCATAGTTCCAAAACAAAAAAGAAGTAAACTGAATGAAAGAACAGAAAAGGGAATTCTCGGTGGATATAATGATCGTACCAAATGGTACAGAATTTACATGTCGAATGCAAAAAACATTGCCATCAAAAGAATTGTAATATTCAACGAAAACAAAAAAGAAGCAATACCTTGTCAAATAAATTATCAGGATTAAGAAATACAATGGAAAGAAAATTAATTGTGAGGATCATGTGCAGATGCATAGAAACAGAAGAAATTCCCCTAGTACCGCGAAGATCCCAAAGAACGACTAAAGAAATCCCACCAAATAGATTCTCATATATAGCAAAGAAAAAGGAAATCAAAATTCCTATGGACTGCCAAGATTTACAAACTTTTCCAGCCAAAGAAAAGGAACTGTGGTTGAAATCCACAAAGGTGATGGAATGATTAGAAAAAAGGAACTAGTTGTTCTTCCAAAAGGAAAGAAAAGAATTGAAAATTTGGAAATAAATGGGCATTCGGGAATAAAATCTGAAATTGCAGGAAATGTTATCAGATATAAAGCTCGTCTGGTAGTTAAAGGATATTGCCAACAGGGCATGACTACGATGAAACATTTGTACCAGTCGTAATAGACGCTACAACAAGAACTACCTTGACAACAGCAGCTCAAAAGAACATGTATGTAAATCATTTCCACCTAAAAACAGCATTTCTATGAGAAGCTATGAGAAGAAATACATATAAAGCAACCAGAAGGTTACATTTCGTAGAGAGAAGCAAACAAAGTCTATAAATTAAACAAAAGTATCTGTAAACTAAAACAGGCAACCAGAAACTAGAATCACAAAATAGCCAAAACTCTGTGCATATTATGATATGTGCAAGGAAAGGTTGATCAATGTTCTTTCACATTAAATAAGGAAAATACCAGAATTTATATAATCATATACGTTGACGACATATTAGTCTTGAGCGAAAGCTTAAGTCAATTCAAGAAGTTGAACGAATTCTCAAACAATATTTTGACATTGTAGAACTTGGAGAAGTGTTAACATTTCTAGGAATCGAAATTGAAAGAGAAAAAGATGGAAGCCAACAAGATTATGAGAATAATCGAGAAATTCGAAGAAGAATCAGAAAAGAAACTAAGTTATACACTCATGACTACGAATATTATGAAGAAGAAAAGAACTTTAACATATGTTGAAAGGGGGGAAGTGAAGGCTGTTCTGAAAGATTCCTGGAAAAATCGCTTTTACGATTCGAAAACGCGTTTTCTGATAAGTTCCAAAATGTCACATCTACTGTCACTAAGGCTGTTCATATACCGGGTTCTACTTGATCTATCCTTAAAAAGTATTTTGTGTTAATTAACCACTTTTTATGATTTGGATCTGTAGTACAACTTTTCTTTAGCTTTTGTAGGTACCTCCCAAACATAAGAAAATCATGTGTGCGATCCTCCATAAGTCTCAGTCTCCGAGCTATTACGAGATGTGAGACGATATGCTCTGCCATTGTAGAAGCAATGCCTCCATTTGATATTACAAAAGTCAAAACTTCACGACCTGTGTCAAGAGATTTTAGCCATCTGCACTGTGTCTGCCATCAAAGCCTTTCGACTTCCGGGAGGCTGACGGATCTTGTTGCTCCTCTGACAGCGTTTAAACTATAACGTAAACGATATCAGAGGACGTAAAATACAACCAAAAAATTAAGAGGGCGTACTTATTCAGTCTGAAGATTATTTCAGACAGAGCAATAGGTCAGAATGTCCTTAAACTCTCGATTATAGAGACTTTTGCCGCTAGCTACAACCTCACATAATGAGGACAATACTTACAATAATTTTTACATGCCTTTAATGTCATTATGCGTTGTTAACAGAGCTTCTTATAGAATTGTAATAAATGTGTTTTAGTTTTATATGTGGTAAGTAATACGCAACCTAAACAAATCGCAAACTAGTTAGTTACCAGTCCTTACATGGAGTCGCCCCAGCAGCGTAACCACAGTCCCCTCCCACCCTCAACAGGATGCTAATTAGTTGAAGAGTATTC